CTCAAAAACCAACTCCCAAAAACATGTTAAACCAATATTTGTGATATTTTTATACCTCTCACAACCTAAGATGTACGATAGTATTTGCACCTTCCCTAGAACTATTTTCAGACATGTCATGAGAAAGTAGCTTTCTATGCAAACGACGCAACTGCCTAAAGGTCCTCTGTGTATTACAGTGAAGGGTTGGGGGCCCTATCTATTGAATAATTGAATAATTAAAAAAGGATGATACCGCATCCCAGACCCATTCCGACTAGAGTCCAGGGGCTGGAGTTAAAGTTGGGCTGGGTCGATACAAAGAATTTTTACAGATAAATTTTTATACATAAATTTTTTACATTAAAAATATAAGAAATTTTAAAATTTGAGCTGGGTCGGGGCCCGGTTGGCCACCCCTGCACCTCTGCCCCTGAACCGGATGGTACGTTGGGAGGATATAAATTGGACTATAATCACAATCTGACAGACAAAGAATGAGACCCCGTCCCCGATACTTGCAGAGGCCCTGTACTTTTCAAAGTTAGGTGTCATTGTAGTTGATGGGATTCAAATACATAATGAATTGAATACGGAGTAATTAAATACTCCCGAAGTGTTCAAAATTGACCCGATTAGCGGCTCTGTAAACACGGACTTAACGATAAATCGCAGTTTTATCTATTTATATCTCTCTTATCACTCCTATGCACAGCCATGGCAGAGAGAAACAGGACGGTGGGCGGTAACACTATTAAGAAACGCACCGAATAGAAATGCAGGCCAGATATCTGACCGCAACCGCCGATCTCCTCTTTCGCTCAGACCGCCTCAGCCGCTATCCCGGCCGTCGCCGCTCCGGAGCTCCGGATTTCCCTCGCCACATGAATACTACCGGACTTGCTCACGGAGTGCAGGTACAGCCATTCCGCGGCCCTGTATTCGCCGGCGCGGTCGACGTCTGTGTAAATTACGGCTCGCTTTTCCGGGACACCGGCGCAACGGCGTCGACGGTTGCCGGAGCTTACGCGCTCGTCTCCGCTTTCAACGGCTTAACGCAGCGCAATCTCATACACCAGGTTCTCTGTCTCTCTCTAGATATCTGAAGTTGTGAATAAGTGTAGATCTGCATTTGTCTGTTTCACATTTTGGGTATGAATTCCAGAATAGCTAAACACGATTGGGTTTCCGACTTTCCGCATATAGAAAAACGGATGGCAATTGATTCATCCTGACAAATTTACCAACTTCGATTTTTTTTGGAATTTCTCTTATAAGGAAAATCAAAGCCGTATAGCTTTTCTAAGTGAAAGTTATTCTCCAGAACTTTGCTAAATTGAGCAAGTCTTCAATGAGCGTGGAGCACACTTTTTTTGAACAGTTAGTATGTTTTTATTTGGATTATTTTTTATCCTAGATCACACCTGATCAGCATTCTCTATGTCCGTGAAAAGATATTATTGAAGCCTAAGAGGCGCTTTTGTAGTACTACCTCCGTCCCATAATTTACTTCCAAAATAAAGTGTCACGCGGATTAAGAAAGTGAGAATTGTGTGGTGGAGAGTTGTGCAGAGGAGAGAGAAATGCTGTGAACCACAAATTCTTTGCCAAAAAAGGAAAGGAAAGTTCTTTTTGGGACGGACGAAAAGGGAAAGTTGGAAGTATTTTCAGGGACGGAGGGAGTACTTTTTTTCATCTTCTTAGTCTTATCATTCAACTTTTACAACATGTCATTTTTGTTTTAGAATGTTGAATTGTGTAATAAAAAAATAAATAAAGTTGAAGTTACTTTTCCGGCGTTATTGATCGAAATTAATGTAGATGATCATTTTAGCTATTTTTACATATGATTTTTTCTCTATTTTATTTAAAAATTATTTTTCGGTTAAATCAGCATAATCAGCTAATGCAGCCACTTATGTTAGAACTTCATAAATTTTAGAAGAATCAGCCGATTTTCGTGTTATCAAACATGCTACTTGGTTTGAGGCGTCAATTTTAAAATATTATACTCCGTATGAGGGGTGTTTGAATTTGAGCTAAAGGTTCAAATAGACACCTGTACTGGTCATGTAAGCTCAATTCAGTCCCTGAACTAAAAAAGTCTGATTCGCACCCCGAACTGACAAAAAAGTTTCAAATTTCATTTTCTTCATGTAAACAACCAGTAAAAAAGGTCCAATTCACACCCTTAAACTATTAAAAAGTGTCAAAATTGCAATAAATTGAAAATAAAAAACAGAAACAATAAAAAATTAAAAAAATGACCGATTGTTTACATGTAAAAAATAAAAATTGAACCATTTTTTGTCGGTTCGGGATGTGAATTGAACCTGTTTTTAGTTCAAGGATTGAATTAAGCTTACACAACCGTACAGGGGCCTATTTGACCCTTAGCCTTGAAACTGATTCTGTTTCTGCTTCTTTTTTAAAATAGAAGCAGAATCAGAATCAGTTTTCAAATTCTGGTCTCCCCTAACTTCTAAAAAACTGTTTCTAAGATTAAATTAGAGCACCAGAAGTACTTCTACGCTTTCACCCAAACACTCTAATTTTTGTTTTAGCTCTCTCAAGGACTAGAAGCAATATTAAGAATCAAGTTCAAACACCCTCTAAAATACACACAAAATCATACATCTATCAGATCAGTTCAGACTAGACCAGATCTGAAATTTCAGTATAATTAAAAGCATATTTATTTAGTGATGATAATATCACCTACTTGAGGATTATCCTTACTTTAGTGATTATAATATCATCTATTCAGGGATCATCACCGTAGATTTCTTGAGTTATGTCGGATTGGTACGCTGAACTTAAAGTCGAATTTGGATCCTCTCCAGTAACCGGATACTTCCCGTTGGAGAGAGATAGAGAAGAGGGAAATTATAGTGGGGTATGTTGATGAGAATTTTCTAAAGAATTTTCGTAAAGTTTCTGCTCTCTTTCACAACAGTTTCCGTGCTACATAGCTTTGATTTGAAGTGCATCAATACGAAAAAAATGTTGTGATTCAAAGAAAAGGGATAAGACTTTTGGGACAATAAAAAATACAAAGTTTAAAAAATCAAATGGGACAGAGAGAGTATCACTCAAAGAAATAAAAAATCAGATGTTTGATATAAAATGATTGATAAGGTTGAAAAAGTAGAAAAACGAGATCACCAAAGGGCTCTAAATTGTATTCATAAACATTCTTAATTTTTTAAATAATTTTTACTCACATAGAACCAAGTGAAATCTGTTCGTGCTATCAAACAATAATATTAAACGTTAGAGAAATATATCTAAGGAAAGATCAGGTCAATTTAAAGTGCATCAATACGAAAAAAAATGTGCATCGGCAAAAATGTGTCAAATGCGTAACAAATTTCTAAATAAATAGAACACATAGGTACTTCGTATTGCGAAACTATGCATTTGATTGCTGGGAGGTTGACTGCATTTTTTCCAAAAAAAATATCAAAATTATCTCCAAAATATTTTGCCAAAAAAATAAACCAGAGATTCAGAAAAGGTTGCGTAAGATTGACTCAACCCGTCGCAACTGTATGTGTGACCGGGGACGAATAGTAATTATATCAAGTAGCCTAACGGTTACTTTTTTTGGCTGAAATCTATTTTTGGCTTAAAAGACATTTTTATCCCTTAGCTTCTTGAATACTTCACCCCTAAATCTCTTCTTCGTTTGCATCTGTCGTCTTGTTCTTCCCAGATATCACTTCGCATCTAAGTAGTCTTCTGCTTAAAATCTTTTTGCTCGATTACAATTTGTATGCATGTATTGTGGATGTTTTGGTTAGTTACATTACAACACATTCCAATTAACGATTGTGCTTAAAATGTTTTGTTTATTTTGACATTAATTTACTCATATTGGTAAATAGATTTTCCTAGCAAAGCTAACTTACATATATTTCAAATATAAAGAAACAAATACCCTTTTTGGTAGATACACATTCAATCAGCCACTTCAGCCAAGATATTAACAAACACTTTCACTTCAACAATTTCAACCAGTTCAGCCAATTCAGTAGTTTCAGCAATTGCATCCGTTACCAAACAGGCCCCAAGTTTAATAGTCACTATCTTTTGTTAAGATTGTCCCATCTTTCCTTTTCGATCTGTTTCACGCTTTCACTAAGATTGTTTCATATCATATTTAGTTAAATTTGTGTGCTTCTAAATTATTCTTACTTTATTACTTAAATATGAAACACATAAATCCACTTTTATTGGTATGCATGCAACTTTCTCTTGTAACATTGTTAGTGGGACATAGTGAGTAACATACCAGTGGGTGACCAAAAATGTAAAATGAAAAATTTACGCAAAAAAATAAATTAACTTATGCTTTAGCCCTATAGTCCTCCCCTCGAAGCCACATAGGGAGTATTTGAATATACTTTTTATAACTGATTCTGCTCATTCAAGAAGTAGTAACAAATATTTGAGTGTTTAAATGTAAGTACAGAAATACTTCTGATTATTCCAAAATATTTGAGACCTTCTTTTGAAAATCGATTCTACTTCTACTTTAAAAAACGAAGCAAAAATAGAATCAATTCTGAACGTTCCCCTATATAAATCATTCTTTTGAATCTTTTTTAATGCACTAATACACTAATTGTATTAGTGCATTAAGTTTTCTTTAATGCCGTCATTGTTTTACTGAGTTTATTGGTGCTACTTCCGTCACCAACTGTATCAATGCATTTAAGTATACCACAAAGTATCCTTTCAATCCTTATCTCCATCTTAATTGAGGCTTGATTTAGATGTTTGCGTAATGATGAAGCCAACTATTCATTAAATTTTTAGCCCGTTTCATAAGATTGAAATTGACAAGATCTATCGAATGTGATGAAATTCTAACCGAAGTGGTTAAATTATTTAAATCTGTTGATTTTTTAAAAGATATATTTAAAATGTATTTTATTGATAACAGTAAGAAGAAAATATGAAAAATAGCTAAAATGATTTTCTATATTAACTTCAACTAATTTAGCCAAAAGTAACTTCAACCCTTGTTATTTTAATTATAACACAATTATATGTAAGAATTGATTAATAATACTGATAAGCTGTAACCGAAAGTTATCAAACTAACTCGAGAAAATGTCCGATAACCATTGCTTGACGATATTGTTTAAACGAAGTTGAAAATATGCATAAGAAAAGCAAATTGCAGAATGGTATACACTTTGGATGGCTGAGCTTGAACACCATGTTAGGTAGTCAGAATTTTCTTTCTTTTTTTTGGTTATGATATCATGGATCGATTCATGTTAGCCGACCCCAAAATCTTTTGGGATTAAGACTTGAATGCTGTTGTTGTGATCTCGTGATTAAAGTCCAATTTACATTTTCTCAGTATCTCAGCCATAACCTCACTTGTTATATGTGAGCTTGTAACTAAACTCCAATTTACATCATTCAGTTATTTGTCCGGCTGGTGCAAGAAGACCCTCAGAGATGGTTGTCATTGTTTCCCTTTATTTTTAGACTGTTTGATTACACCCTGGCTTTGCCCCTGCCTTTGGCTCTTAGGCTCTAGGCCTTGTTTTACAACCCCATCAATAATATTTATATTAAAAAATAATTTAGAATTTTCAAAACATTAATATAAGAATATAATTTAAATTTTATGTGTATTTGTCATTTTATCTTAGGAAAATAATTTAAATATGGCTAAAGGGTCAAATAGGTACATGAACTAACTTAAAGTGTTCAATTAGCCCCTTATATAGGAGGTTCTGCTCGGCCATTGTCAATTGGGGCAGTTCCCGGTGGATTTTTTTGATAATTTTTTTGAGAATCTTCTTCATTAAGTATAGTTTACTCATACCAAATTTCAACTAAAAATTCAACCGGGAAGGCAGTCAAATGATTTTTTGAAGATAACTGCGCAGTTAAACAACGCAATACATTTCGGAAAATCATTTGACTGCCTTCCCGATTTAATTTTTAGCTGAAATTTGATCTGGGTAAAGTAGACTTAATGAAGAAGATGCTCAAAAAATTTCATCAAAAAATTCCATCGAGAACCGCTCCAATTGGCGACGGCCAGACAAAACCTTCTAAATAAGGGGCTAATGGAACACTTTAAGTTAGTTCATGTACCTATTTGACCCTTTAGCCTTTAAATATTACAAACTCTTTGAACTCTTTTTTGGGACGAAGTATGGATATTGTTGTTGTATTCTAAACTCTGCGATTGGAATTCAACATCTTGAATTTACATACGTAGTAAGATATTTATTTGTATAATGATATACGAAGTAAGACCGTACAACTAGGGGTGGGCATAAAACCCGAACCGGTACCGAACCGTCCCGTAAAGGTACCAAACCGAATAACGGGTATTTAAATGGTTCTATAGATTTTTATCTCGAACCAAAACCGTACCGTTTGAAACGGTTACGGGACCGGTCCTAGATTTTGAGAACCGAAAAATACCGGACCGAATCGTTCGAAAATAATGCATTTGAATTTTTATATTTTTTCTATATCAACAGTTCTCTTTTATAGACCAACAATTTTATACCACAAGTATGTATTCATGTGTCTCTAAGATATCTAAATGTGTGTGTGTGTATAGTGTTATTTTTTCTTTTTAGATAATTTATGTTATATTTTGGTATGTATTGAAAGAATATTAAAATGTTAGAAATCATTAATGACTATTCATTTGTAGTAATGTAGTGTACATGACTTTTTGTTGTATCATGTTTGTGCAATTTTTACAACTTAAGTAATATGGTTTAAATCTTAGATTTCAAGGTTCAACTATAAATTAAATTAGAACTACGGAGTAATATTTAATGTAGAACGAAGAAGAAGAACGTTGAAGATTTCTATTATATTCAACAGTTTGATGATATTTGTTTTTACATTTTCACATGAACTTAGTAAATTAAAGATGATATTTATCTCGTGCGTCATCGTTTTGCTATACTTTTTCTTAGTTGTGTTGCACTATTTGTGTATTTGTGAATTTTAGTACTACGTATGCAATTTTTTGTATTTATTTCAACATTTCATGTGAGTTGTTTGGTGTAATGATATCTACTAATTGCAAGATTTGTTCAAAATTTTTAGCATGCGTTTGGCATTGTACCATACCGTTTTGTACCGTTTCGAAATGACATGGTACTGAGCGGTTCTATCCTTGGAACCGGACCGTATCGGACCGTTAAAAACCTCACGGATACATTACGGGTTTTACCAATTTACCGGACCGTTCCGGTCGCGCCCACCCCTACGTACAACTGTACATCTAAAAAGTAAAAATTATTAATGATCACATTATATTATATAATCATCAAAATTATTTCTCGAAATATACTCAAATTGCTATATTTAATTACGGAGTATTATCTAAATAACCATGCCATTTTGAAATGGAAACCTTTGAACGGGACGAAGATAGTATAATGGTAATGATGATACAAAATATATAATGTGCAAATATTAATGACTATTTTAGTTTACGTGTACATCATAATATTATGATCCGTTCTTTAATTCTTGCCACAGTTTGTCAGTTTGACTTTCACATTTGACAATGCACAATTTTGACTGTAATTATATTTAATTATGTATTAGGATATTATAAAAATTTGATATATTGGAAATTCACATTGATAGGAATTTAACAACATTTTATACATAATAATTTGATTATGGGGAGAACTATCAAATAAGCTCTCGAAGTTTCATAAAAAGTGCAAATAAGCCCTTTTATAGGAGGCTCTGTCCGGCCGTCGCCATTTGGGGTGGTTTCCGGTAGAATTTTTTGATGATTTTTTTTGAGTATTTTCTTCATTAACTCTAATTTATTCATATCAAATTTCAGCTAAAAATTAAATCGGAAAGGCAGTCAAATGAATTTTTGAAGATAATTGCGCAGTTAGATAGCGCAATATATTTCAGAAAATCATTTGACTGTCTTCTCGATTGAAATTTTAGCTGAAATTTGGTATGGGTAAACTAGAATTAATGAAGAAGATGCTCAAAAAATGTCATCAACTAATTCTACCGGAAACCGTCCCAAATGACGACAGCCGGACAAAGCCTCATGTAAAATGTCTTATTTGCACTTTTTATGAAAGTTCAAGGGCTTATTTGATAGTTCTCCCTTTGATTATGTATATTAGTATAAAATCGTGGTCAAAGTAAGGTCTTTGAATAGTACAAAAATGACAATGTTGGAAGAATTAAAGAATAGAGGAAGTAGTATGTAGTATGAGTGTTTTGTTATTTTGTATGGCAATTATGGCATTAGTCTGGTTGAGATCCCACGGCTATATGCTTGCTGATCGTCCTCTCTCCACAAAACGGATGAGATTAAGACAAGCACATCCTAATGCAAATTTAATCAACCAAACACAATAGTTGGAAGTGTGAAGAAGTTAATAAAAACATTGATTCTTTTATGTTATGTAAGTTAATGTTTTTCAGCCCATCCTTCTTTTGTTTTGAAACAGAACTTAAGCCGAAAGCTGGTCCATATACTATCTGGTCTGCTATTCATGGCTTCCTGGCCTCTATTCAGGTAGCTAGAAATTATCAAATGTAAAAAGTAATGAATGCTGCCTCTCTTAAATACTTAAACTGATGATTTAGAGCTAAGTTTAGCGACTCGACAGGAGCACGCTACTTCGCTTCCGTAGTCCCCCTCTTGAACTGCTTTAGGCTGCTTGTCAATGGCCTTCATTTCTCTCAAGATGAAGTGCTCATCAAGTCTGTCACCCGAAACGGAAAGCGAGAGTAAGCTTGAAATTATGTTCTGCCCTTACAAAAACATTTCATGGCAATGCTTGTGACGATTTCTCTTTTGGCTCATTCCCCTTGCAGAGAATTGCTACGAGGCCCGTTGTTCTATGTGTTGATACTGATCATATGTGCTCTTGTCTTCTGGCGTGATTCACCCGTTGGAGTCGTTGCATTAGCAATGATGTGTGGTGGAGATGGTTAGCTCTATATTTTGTTATGAATACTGAATAGTCTTCAGCTAAATATAAATTAGCAAATAAGTTATTCAGACGGGATGGACCCGAAAATTGAAAACCCTGGGACAAAAGACGGGACATATTGCAGTCCGATTGGGACTGCAATATGTGCTGCACTGCCTGTAATTACAATTTGGACCACCGTTTTTTATTTATAACTATGTCTGTTGTAGGCACTGCTGATATAATTGGGAGAAGATTTGGTACTGCAAAATTTCCATACAATCAACAGAAAAGTTGGGCGGGCAGTATCGCCATGTTCGTTTTTGGGTTCTTGATATCCATGGGGTATGCCGTATGTTGCCAAGCTAAACTTTAGATTGATTAAGCCATTTTGTGCTTGTTTGAACATGTATGCAATGATTTTTCTTGATGTGCGTGGTTTGAAGGATGCTAGGTTACTTCTCAGCCCTTGGATACTTTGACATGGATTGGATGCCTACAATGGAAAGAGTAGCACTTGTTTCTTTGGTCGCAACGGTGGTGGAGTCTATACCAACCAATGGAATGGTTGATGATAACATATCAGTTCCTCTAGCAAGCATGCTAACTGCCTCTTTATGCTTTGGTTTCTATTAGAATGTGTGATTGGAGTAGTGTGTTCCTTCACGATTTGTTTTTCAACCGAACATGTTTTCTGGTTTCCATTTTTAAACCTCGGTTTTAGTGTTGTAGTTATTGTTGTTGCTGTTATTAATTACCGAGTAAGAACGGTTAGTATTGTTGTAGTTGTTGCTGTTGTTGTTATTAATTACCGAGTAAGAACGCCCGTCCAAACATGCTAGCTTAGGCCTTAGGGACTTCCAAAAACACCGAATTTATGACTTCATATGTGGCTATGTCTTAGTTTAAATCTATTCAACTTCCATTGTATGTGGCCATGTGGGGCATTTGTTCGAATGGGTGGACTCTTCTTTCAAAAGAAGGATAATTGTTTGTATGTGATTGTGTTTGGGGAAAACAATGAACGCTGCTACTCTTACAGTCTTACGCCATATGTAGTTCAGGTTGTTTTAGTCTTTTAATAGTCAAAAGTGTTTAAACTAATATTTTTAACTCTTAATTCCTTCTTTCATAAAAAACTCTTAAATCCTTACATCGAAGGACTTTAAACATAGAGCTGTGTATAAATCAAAATGATTTATGATTGATTCGGAATTCGAATTCGAAAAATACAAATGATAATACTAAATTTGATTTGAATTCTTATCAAGTATTGTTGGGGTAATTGGCCCAATACAGATCGGCCCAATACCCCGTGAATAATTGGTACTAGAAACCTCTAAGCCCAAAGACTGCTCAGCCTAGCCCAGGCGGCATGCACCGCGTGGTCCCAGGTCCTTGTGTCATTTTTGCCTGCTGTCAGAGGCCTCATCCAACATGCTCAATGATTGGCGGGAAAGTAAGTATTTAGTCGAAAAACACATTAAATGCACCATATATACTAGATTTGATGGTTGGGGATTAGCCATTCATAATCCTCCACATCACCACTACCATCTACTCCATGTTAGTAAAAATAGTACTCCCTACATCCCGAAAGTTCGCCAAATTGACTTTTCTAAGTCAATGACTATCAACTTTGATCAATGATATTTTTAATACGAAATTATTTTAAATATGAAAATTATATCAAAATGTTCTTTGTCCAAAATATTTTCATAAAAGTATAATATTTATAAATTATATTCAAATACAATATTTAAAATCATTATCCAAAGTTTCCCATCATTAACCAAGAAAAGTTAACATGGCGAAGCTTTTCGGGACGGAGGTAGTAACATTTATTTCATTGTTAGTTGACAATTTGTACTAACTAGCTTTAGCTCTCTATTCTCTTGCATCCTCAACTTAGAATAGACGCTCGGCCCTAGGCCCAGTAGGGTATGCAGTAATTATTCTATGACACTTATGAGCCGTTTACTTATGACTTAATGAACTTAATGAAAAAGACGACTTAATAGTTCAGTCTTTAAGTCATGTTTACGTATGACTTTAATTTATTGTAAACACGACTTATTCATTCACTCAAAAAACTGACTTAATCGTTAAGCTGTGAAAATGCACTCCTTCTCATTAAGACGTCTATTCAGTCAATGTTTATATACCTAATATGGAATAGATATATGTTAATAAATGAAATTATTCATTGTCAATATTACTTAATACTCCCTCCGTCCCATATTTATCTTCGCAGTTCGGTTTACGTTTGAGTGACGATAAAGCAACTTGATCCCGGTTCACATTCAGATTATTTTTAGTAAATTAAATTTACATATTAAGAAACTACATTAAATCCGCTACAAAGGCTGATCAAGAAAATTTATGTTTGATAAAAATTTGATATATAAAGTAAAAGTTTAAGAGTAATTTGAGTTGATCCTATGAATAGTAACTATGAAGATAATTTTGGGACGGAAGGAGTAATAATATTAAATTGATTAATTTACTCTATTCATTCAACACACAAAATAAACAGCTTCATACACAAACATCACTTAATCCAAACAGACGTCTTAATGTAGACATGACTTAAAGAACTTGGTCCACTTACTCTCATTCTCTTCTCTTGCTAAGTATTCTTGCATCAAACTATTAGTTGCTTCATATAAACTCACACAACTCACCAAAGCATCTCTAAAGAATAATCATCTGGATTGGACTGGACTGCTTTTTATTATTTTATTGGGCCTTTTATACCAGCCCATCTTATTTTTTACATTACAGCCTTTTTGTATAAATGCTGTATATTTTAACCTACTCAGTACGCATTATTCAATCTTCTTCTACCTCTCTCAATTTCGACTTCCGCACTATTGCTCTTCCTTGCTCTGTAAATTCACATGGTATCAGATTAAGGGCTTCGATCCTACTGATTCCTTTCGTTTCCGATTATTCATCCTACATCGATTTCTATAATCGATCATATTGCTTTTCTTCTCAATCGATTTCTTCATCGATTACTTCTCAAAACCCTAGAATTCATGGCTTTACCGCTGAATCCACTCGAAGATCCTTCATCGCCTTATCATCTTCATCCAAGCGACCATGCTGGTTTACACATCATCTACGAAACTCTCACAGGAGATAACTTCGCTGCTTGGAAGAAGTCTGTCTCCATGGCTATGGCGGTGAAGAACAAAATGGGCTTCCTCGACGGATCTATCAAACAACCAAATTCAGACGAAGGTCTTTACTCTACCTGGTATCGTATCAACGCTCTTCTCTTGTCCTGGTTAATATACTCTATTTCTCCAAGTCTTCGCAGTACCTTTCTATATTTTACTAATGCTAAGGAACTTTGGGATGAAGTTCAACTTAGGTATGGTAAAAGTGATGGACCTAGACTTTTTCAACTCGAAAAATCTCTAGGAAATCTTTCTCAAGGTTCTCGAAATATTACTGACTATTACAATTCCTTTAAAGAAATTTGGGATGAATATTCTGATTTTAGAGCTATTCCTTCTTGTACTTGTGATCAGTGCACTTGCAATATATCTGAAACTTATCAAAAATTACTTCAAAAAGAGTCTATTCTAAAATTCCTTGTTGGTTTGAATGATTCTTATGCTCATTTAAGAAGTCAAATTCTTCTTAACACTGAAAAATCAACTCTCTCAAATATATACTCTATCTTCTTACAAGAAGAATCTTAAAGATGTCTCCAGTCTTCTGTTTCTTCTACTACTCCTTTTTCAGATTCTTCTTCTTCTGAAAAATTCCAAACTGATTCTACTGCTTTTCTTGTTAAAAATTTCAAGAAAAAGAATTCTGTTATTTGTACTCATTGTGGCTACCAAGGTCACTCTGCTGAAAAATGTTTTCAAATCATTGGCTATCCTGAAAACTGGAAAGGTCCAAAAGGTCAAAGAGTTGCCCCTGGCTTCAAACCTCATTTTAACTCCAACAAAAATCCTCAAGCACACATGGTGACTAACTACACAGAATCCACACCTACATCAACAAATCCTACTTCTGCCACAATTGACTTCCTTGATCCTACTCTGTATGACAAATTCCTTCAATTCATGCAAACTCAACAAACCAAGAATGCTTCTGCAAATGTGGTTACTGCTGCTCCTAATTCCTCTTCTACTTCTTCAAAAGATACTCAGTTTGTAGGTAACTATTTTGCCTTTAATACTTTTAAAAATTCTAAATGGATACTGGATACTGGAGCATCTGACCATATGGTTTATGATGCTTCATTATACACTACTCCAACAAAAACTATTTCTATTAATATACAATTGCCAACTGGAAATTTTATTTCTGCAACTAAAATTGGTGATATTAAATTGAATTCTTACCTTACACTTCAAAATGTCTTATATGTTCCTAATTTCACTTATAATCTTATATCCATCCCCAGCTTAACTTCTCATGATAATATCTCTGTTTACTTCACTTCTAAACATGCTATATTGCAGGACCACCTTACTCACAAAATGATTGGCTTTACTGATTTACAAAATGGATTATATCACTATCATTCTCATTCTTCCATATCACATACTCCTACTGTGCATTCTGCAAATACTCAACATTCTCAATATGATGCTTCTTCCACTACTCTCTGACATTTTAGATTAGGACATTTCCCTATTAATAAACTTTCTTTTTTGTCTGAATGTAATATCTCAAACAATAAGAAACACTCTTTTCCCTGTGATATCTGTCATTTTGCTAAACAAAAAAGACTTCCTTTTCCTATTAGCAATTCTCATGCTTCTAATGCCTTTGATTTAATTCATATGGATGTTTGGGGTCCTTATAAGGTTACTTCTTATACAGGTTTTAGATATTTTCTTACTATTGTTGATGATTACACTAGATGCACTTGGGTATTTTTGCTTAAAACCAAATCTGAAGTTAAATTTCATATGATAAATTTTTATAAATTCATTGAAACTCAATTTCAAAAGAAAATTAAAATCATTAGAACTGATAATGGCACTGAATTTATTTTTCCTGAATTTTATAATTCAAATGGTATTCTTCATCAATTATCTTGTGTTGAAACTCCTCAACAAAATGGTAGAGTTGAAAGAAAACATCAACATATTTTGCAAATTGCTAGATCTCTTTTATTTCAATCTTGTTTACCTATATCCTTTTGGTCTGATTGTATACTTACTGCTGTTCATATTATTAACAGACTGCCTACTTCTGTTCTTCAAAATAAATCTCCTTATGAGCTATTATATAACCATCATCCTGATTATACTCATTTAAAGATATTTGGATGCTTGGCTTTTGCTTCCACTATTTGTTCTAACAGAACAAAATTTGACTCTAGAGCACATAAATGTGTTTTCATTGGTTATTCTTTAGGATCTAAAGGATACAAATTATATGATTTAAACACTCATCAAACTTTCATTTCTAGGAATGTAAAGTTCTATGAGTTGATTTTCCCTTTCAGAAATAAAAATTATGAAACTGAAACTGATTTTAACCTCACAAATCTTCAAAATAATAAATCTGTTACTGATTACATAAATACTATTTCTCAAACATATCCTCAAAGTTACCTGGACAATGAAATTGATAATGAGGTACATCTTTTTCAATCTAGCAATACTTATTCTGCTAATAATGAGTCTTCCAGTAACATTGAGACAGGTAATAATCACACTCATCACACAGATGCTGCAAACAGTTCTCCAAGGAAATCTACCAGAGTAAGATCTGTTCCTATTCATTTAAAAGATTTTGAATATGACTTACCTACTTCTATCATTCCTAATGTTTCTGAACCTTCATGTCATTTTGTAAGATATCCTATACAAAATTATGTTTCTAACAACAAATTAAGTTCTTCTCATCATTGTTTTACTGCATCTCTTTCAAAACTTGTTGAACCAAAAACTTATAAACAAGCTGTCAAATTTGCTGAATGGAAAACTGCTATGAATAATGAGATAAAAGCTCTTGAAAATAATAATACTTGGATTCTTGTTGACCTCCCTAAAAATCAACATATTATTGGATGTAAATGGGTATT